CCCCTTTTGGTCTTGTGAACACTGCTGCCATGAACTTGGGTGTGCAAAGCTCTGTTGGAGGCCCTGCTTCTGCTCCTTTGGGGGCTACACCCAGAAGTGGAATTGCGTCCCCCATTCTAATTTGCATCATCACGGTTAAAGGGTTACACATCTTCTCCCTTCACCTCCACCCCAAAGCAGCCGCCCTCACCTGGGGCCAACCCTTCCTGTCTCTCACTTTGGCACGCACCTTTGCCCTGGTCTGTGGGTGACCTCCCTGCGCAGCTGGTAAGCGCTAAGGCAAGTGCTGAGTAAAGTTTTGCTGATTTGCACCTGGTCCAAGGTGTGCGTCCTGCTGCTGGCCATTCTCCCGGGGCCAGAGTCCTCTCTCAGCCTTAAATACAAAAGGAAACCAAGATTTGTACATTTTTCTTAATTACCCTGGACCCTCAATCTCATCCCTCGTGCTTCCAGGTGCAGTTTTCCCCACTTAGCTGGAAATATTCTGTCATTTCGGGCCCCTGGAGGTTTGCCAGGAAATCTCAGCTGCTGATGAAGCACCTTGCAGTGGTAGGGCGGGGCAGCAAGGGCCGGAAAGCAGGTCAGAAGCCTGTGGGCTGACGCTGGCTCAACCCAGGGCGTTAGGATGAGCAGTGCCCTCCCAGAAGAGCTGTGCAGACGGCAGAGATTGGGGTGGCCCCAACCCCCAGGGACTCACAAGATCAAATGTGGCCACAGGCCAGGGAACTGGGAAAGGCGAGGCAGAGTGCGGGGCCCTGAGGTTTCCCTGAGCCCTGGACTCGCTGACATCTCAAGAAAAAAAAATCCATGCCAAGCTGAACCGGGGTCTTTTAGCACAAGAAACTGCTGCCAGACATGGGCTGAAGAGGAAGGAAAAGGTCCCAGCTGCACAGGAAGGGGAAAGAACACCAGGCTGGGAGCAGAGAACACTGGGGAGAATTGTATTTATGGTGGCCCCAGCCGTTCCTCCCTGCTCTGTTGCAAGGTGGCTTCGGGAGGCAGAGTCCCTTTCCCATGCCCTTGCATATAGCCTCGCCTGTGACCCGCAGTGGCCAATAGAACTCAGTCCAAGTGATGCCTGGGTCTTCCGGGCCAGACCTTAAGAGGCCTTGCTGTTTCTGTTTTCACCCTCTTCTTCTGCCCTGAGACCATGGTGTAAGAAAGTGGATCTGGAGAAGACATGTGGAGCTCAGCTGACAGCCAGAACCAACTAGCACAGCAGGCGTGAGTGCCGGCCGTCTTGGACCCGCCAGCCCTGCCGACCTTCCAGCGAACATAGTGAGCCCGGCAACACCAGCAGAGAACAGCCAGCCGAGCCACAAATCATGGGAAATGAAAAGTCCCTTAAAAGTGGTTTTAAGCCACTAAGGTTTGGAGGTTTGGCAAGAGGTGGTTAATTACAAAGCAGTGGTTAACCAAGGCAGAGTTTATAAACCAGCTCCAACACGAACCCACGGCATGGCCACTTCCGCTCTCTGGGCTTCCGTTCCCTTTGCAATAAAATCAAGGGAGTGAGGGAGCAGAAAGCAACACAAAAATCACAGGTGTAAGGGCTCGTCAGGTAGCATCCCAGCTCTGTTACTTACTAGCTGTGTGACCTTAGACAAGTTGCTTAACCTCTCTGAGCCTGGATTGTCTCATCTCTCCTATGAGAGCACTAATACCTGATTGGGTTCTGTGAGGATTCCTTGAAATAAAGTGCTCGGCATATAGTGGCTGCTTGATAAATAGCAACGTCCGCAGGGAGGCAGGATTGTCCTTAGGCACATGGGTTCTAGAGGCCACATTATCTGGGTTCGAATCCCTGTTGTGCTACTTCCTAGATGCGTGGTCTTAGGCAAGGGCCCTAACGTCTGGCCCTCAGTTTCCTCACCTCTGTAATGGGGAGGATGGTGATGTTAGTACCTAACTCATAAGGTTGTTGTGAACATTTAGGGAGTTCATACCTGCAAAGCACTATGTGCATTTGGCACATAGTAGGTGGCTCAACAGGGATTATGGGCACAGTTTTTTCAGTTTGTAGAACTCACTCCAACATACCGTGCACTCAGCCCTCACCGGGTCAAATACAGAGGTGAGGAGAAGTGCCTGCCTGCCAGGTCACTCCTGCAAGTCCCAGAGCTAACACACGACAGAGGAAGGATTCAAACTCAGGCCCGCAGGACTCCAAGTCCAGATGCGCCAGCATAGTTCAAGCACCGTTCACCATGCGCTGGGCTCTGGAGCTGCAAGAATGAATGGGGCCTTTCCACGTCCTCAAGTCTCCTCCGGAAGGAAGGCAGACGCAGGCAAGATCACAGCACAATGCAGGAGGTGCGGAGGGCGGGTGGAGCCATTACCTGTGCAGAGGCGGGTCCCCGGAAGCACAGAGGAGGCTCCCCCTGGGCTGGATCTTAGAGTTTGGGTAGGTTCGGGCCACGTGCACAAGGAAGTGCATGTGAGGCAGAAGGCGCAGCGTGTGCAGGAGCTCGGAGGAGGGACTCGCAGCCCGTGGGCAGCACCAAAGTGGGAAACTGAGTCTGTGCAGGAGGCTGGTGAGAGGATGGGATTTCTCCCCTGCCATAAATGAAATGCCATGCCGGCTCCCTAGCGATGGCCATGAAGCCCCTGCCAAGGCCTCACTCAGACACTTGCTACTTTCTCTCTAACCAGCGCCTGCCGGCAATGCCATGGGCTCCATCCTGCCCTTGCCTGTGGCATCCCAGACCCTGGCACTGATGAAGCCCGAAGGCCACCTACTTCCACCTGCTCCCGGGGCGCTGACTAGTCAGGTGTGAGCTAAATCAATGTGTTGGCAGTTGGACCCCAAATCCCAACATCTTACAGGGATTGAAGGATGCTTGAAGGCCACTTGGTCTGTCGTGGCTCCAGCAGTGGTGGGGGGTGGGGGGTGGGGGTAGAGGTTGGGGGTGGAAGTGGCTCAGACCCAGGTGAGAAGGACCCACGAGTCACCCAAGACACCAGGGCCACCCAGGGACGGGCTCCCACCCGCACTCGCTGGCACTGGGCCCTGGGCCTCGGGGACGAGCTGCCCCAGGACTGCTGAGTGGACTCTTCACCGAAGTGCCGGAATAAATCACGCGTCTCGGCAAGTGTGCAGCCTGTGGGGAGAATGCTCCCTAGCTCTTGAATTCCCATTTCTAATGACCCTCCAGAAATTATTGAGAAAATCTACACACTGTGTTTCGGAGTGCTCTTCAAGACTCGCCGCAGTTCAAACGGTTTCCATAAATCCAGAACGCAAAAGGCATTTTTCAGGGGTTTACTGTTCCCCAAATGACACTAATGCCATATTGACTGACTTCAGGGGAGCTCTGGGAGTTTGGAAAAACCAGTCAAGCAAGCAAGATCTTTAACAGGAAAAAAAAAAGAAAAGAAAAGAAAAGTTGGTGAACTTGACAGTTTTGTTGAAGTTCACAGCATTTTCCTGTTTTGACAGCACTTTTGCAGGTCAGGATGCCTCCGGGTGTTGGATAACACCATCCTCTCCTTCTGAGAGTGCTGGCCGCCACCTCCCCCGCCGGTCCCCACCCACGCCACCATCAGAGCCGTCCTTCCGAAACACGAATTGAACACTGCTGCTCAAAACCCACCGAGCCTTCTGGAGTGTTATTCTTGAAAGAAACCGAGAAGGACCTCCAGCTTCTGCACGATCCCCCACCGCCTCGGCCAGGGAGGAGAAAATTCTGGTTTTAATATGCATGGTCTGAGAATCAAGAGAGATACAGACTTGCGTTCATTCCTTCAGTAAACATTTATTAAGCATCTACTATATACCAGACCCTGAAGATTCAGTAGTGGGAAAGAAAAAAAAAAAACAGACAAAAATCTCTGCCTTCATGAGGCTTACAGTCTAGAGAGACAGACAGACAGATTGGACGAATACGTGAGAGATATCGTACATGAGACAGCGACACATCACACATCAATGAACACGGAGCAGGCAGCAAGCCACATCCCTCCTCTTTAACACCCTGTCTACCCCACCCTGTGGCAGCCCTCGCCGGGGACAGATAGAGTGTCCCACCTGTCGTGGGCTCCAAGGTGCCCTTGTTCGCGAATCTTAGCCCAAGCTGGGGCTGTCCCATCTTCCCTGACGCCTTACTGCCCTCTTCCCCCCAAGGTAAACGCATTCCTTCCCAGAAACGAACTTCTCACCTCTTTCTCTGTTCACAGGCAACCTGCAACTTGGCGTCCTAATCGAGTCCCGCAAAGAGAATGGGGGACAGTGGCAGCAAGGTTCCTGACCGTGTGGAGCCTGCCCCGTGGAGAGTGGGGGGCGTAGGACGGCCCCGGCTGGGACGGAGAGAGGCTGGGCGCACGCCGGCCCCTGGAACATCTCAGGCGGCCACATTGCGGCCCCACGCCGGGCTGCTGGCCCAAGAAGGCCGTCCAGCTGGCCGCTGCGTAGCAGAGCCGACACCCGAGTGCAGGTCTTCCGGGAAGCATTGGAGTGTGGGGCTTGGGAACTTGGGCTTCAGAGGCAGGGGAACCCGAGTCTAAAACGTCACCCCGCCTTTTGCCGGCGGTGTGACCGTGCACGCGTTGTTCAGTTCCAAGCTTCGCCGTTCCCACCCGGAGCACTGGACGCTAATAGTGTCTGGGTCCCGGGGACGCTGTGAGTTGCTCCCATCAACTGCGCCGGGCACGGGGTGGGCACTCAGTAATGTCAGTTCTCGTCACTGTTACGCTGACACCAGGGCCTCCTGCGACACCACGGCGACACAGACCTTCACGCCAGCACCATTTAATCGTTCAGTGCCTGTGTCTTCCTCTGCGTCCCCCTTTGTCGCTTTGTCACTGTCCTGTCTCTCTCTCCCGTGTCAATCTGCATCTCAGTGTGTTTTCTCTTTCGGTCTGTGTGTTAGGGGATCTCTCTGTCTCTGTGTGTGCGTGTGTGTGTGTGTGTGTGTGTGTGTGTCTTTGCGACGTGTTTCTTCTCTCCGTGCATGTGTGGGTATGTCCATCTGTGACTGTCACTCTGTGTGTTCTGTGCGGGTATCTGTTCTCAAATCTCTTTGTCGCTTTAGGTCTGTTTCTGTGTCTTTGCCCGGCTGCCTTTCTCCTTACGTCTCTGTGTGTCCCCGTCCCTCTCTTTCTCTCTCTGCCTCCGTCTCCCGCACTTTCTGTGTGTCTCTGTGTCTGTCTGTCTGTCTCTGGTTCTTCTCCTCAAAACCAGAAGCGACTCAGCAGCCTCTCCCGGCTTGTTACGGGGAAACATTGAACAATCCCTCTTTGCTCACGCGAGGAGCCAACAGCTGGGGCAAACAATGGGAAAACTCAGAATTAATTGGGTGCTGATTATTTGCCAGGAGGAAAAAAAAATGGTGAGATATATATGAAACAAAAGACAACCTAGCAACAGTGGAAACCTCCGCGTAGCAACAAAAGCAATCCTAATGAAGCGTGACAATGCCAGCGAGAAGGCGACAGCCGGCCACCGCATGCTGCAAGGAAGGAAAACAAATGTTAGTGCCGCCCAGGAGCCGAGCGAGGCCATTCTGGGGCGCTCTGGATCCTCAGAGATCCCAGCCTGTGCCCCACACATGGTCCCCCCATTCACCCAGTCCCCATGAAAACATCCCACAGGTACCGGCCTTGGCGCTCGGGAGGTGAACGTGACCCAGACAGGGTCCCCAGCTCAAAGAGGAGGAGAGAGCAGACAGACAGACAGCCACGACATGCAACAGAGCTGCAGCACCGGCCCTGCAGGGCCAGCGCACGCAGGGCGAGGGCGTCCAGAGGGGGTCACTCGGGGGCTCAGCCTGGAAAGAGAACGCACATGTGTCGGGGGAGGAGGGACAAGCATAGCATGCAGGAGGAACAGCAAGTGTGAAGGCACAGACAGGCGAGGGCACAGTGGGACCAGAGGACATTGGGAAGCCGCCAGGGCTGGTGGCTCCTCAGAAGGATAAATGCAGAGTCCCCATATGACCCGTAGTTCCACTCCTTGGCGGACACCTAAGGAATGGAAAACGGAGACTCAAACAAGTCCTCGTGGGTGAATGCTCATTGCCTGCTCTGTTCCCAGCAGCCCAAGGGTGGAAGCAACACAAGTGTCCAACTACGAACGAATGGAAAAGCACAATGTGGCACATCCACACAATGGAACATGGTTTGGCCGTAAAAAGGACCGAGGCACCGATACCTGCTGCAGCATGGACGAGCCCCAAAACATCACGCCAGGTGAAAAGGGCCAGACACAGCAGGTCACCTAGTGTGCACTTCCACTTTTACATGCAATTCCAGAATAGGTAAATCCACACATACAGAGAACATGCTAGTGGTTGCCAGAGGCTGGGGGCAGAGAAGAATGGGGAGGGATGAGATTTCCTTTTGGGGTGGTGAAAATGTCTTGGAACTAGATGGAGGTGATGATTGTACAACCTTGTGAATGCACTAGATGCCACTGAATTCTATGCTTTAAAATGGTATATGGTTAACATCATGTTATGCTATTTTTACTCCAATAAAATGCAATAAAAATAAAAGCGAAGGAACCACAGCTGAGGTTTAGCATATGGGTGGGAGGTGGGGCAGGGCCCAATTGCCAAGGGCTTTAAGTGCTGTTGCCTCTCTGCCTTACCGGGGACAAGGGGCTCCTAGAACATTCACCCGGAGGAGTGACGCCATCTCTCACACGTGCTTCAGGAGCATCTCCTAGGGTTGCAAACAGGAAGGATGATCGGAAGCAGTTCAGTAGAGGCAGCAAGACCCAGCAGGAGGCTGAGGCCAGACGGGAGCGTTTTAAAGGACGGTAGAAGAGGAGGGTGGAGACCAGGCGCATTTGAAGAATGGGCACCGACAATTGCAAAGGAATGTGGGCCTGGACCTGAAAAAGGCCCTCAAGATGCATCAAGAAGGCAAGGTCCCTGCCTCAGGGAGGCCTTGGCTGTCCACCCTGTCTCCCCAAAACCCTGGGTCTGGTTTCCTGGGGAAGGGAGATCGCGGACCCGAGGCCTGAGTCCTTTCCATCTGTAGCCAGGCTGCTCTAGGGAGGGCCGGGAGCAGCAGCAGCCGAGAGTCCCATCGTTAGCAGCTAACTCCAGGAGAAGTGTCCGTCTCCGAGATTTCTGCTCCCTCTGGGCCTGGCTCCCAGGTCTGTGTTTTAAAGATTTGTTTTAATTAGATCCGTCTCAGTCAGAGCCATCAAACATTATCTCCGTTTCGGCTACCTCCTTTCCTTTGCTTCTTTCCTATTGACTTTCAGAAACTCTGCCAGCTACATTTGGGCTTTGATTATTTTTTCATAGAAGAAAAAACGCAGTAAGTTTTCCGAAGCGAGGAGCCTGCGCCTCCGGAGAGTAGAATGGGGGGTGCAGGGTGGGCCCTGGGCTGACTCATCTGGTGTTTTCGGACACCACCCTCTGCCTCCCCCAAAGGGGCCCTAATCCACGCATGTCCCCAGCTCTGGCCAGGACTGGCCCTACTGGCGGTGGCTGGCACACAGCAGGCCAAACTTGATGGCAGGGACTGGAAACCAGCCAGACCTGACACCCCACACCAGGCAGCTGAAGGGGCACCAGAAAAAGGCACAGGCCGGAGGGGCAGGAGCCTGGGACAGGCTGGCTGTGGCCAGAGGAAGCAGACCACAGCACCAGAGTATGACAGAGGGGATCTCAGGGCTTCGAGCCACCCTGATCATTGGCAAAATAAATCCCATCTACCCACCCACCCACCCACCAGCACACACACCGTCCACCGCCAACACCTTACCATTCCACCTGCCCAGCTGGCCACTTGGTTCTTGTCCCACCGAGTCATTTCCACTCATCCATCCAAATTTCCATTTACTGAGAGCCCACTCTGAGCTGGTGACAGGGCCCTAACCCCGCAGGAGACATTGTTGGGAGATGGAAATACACACAGCCTAGGTCAGGACCATGCGACAAGGGGCTTCCAGGTGCCCAGAGAGCTAAAACATGCACAACATGTGACATCAGAAAAAACATAAAAGACGGGGAGCCTTAGAGGAAGTACAGCCAGATTTCAGACTCCACAGATTTCAGATGCCACAGCCACGGGAGACATGACCCGGCAGAAGATCCCGACGGGAGTCCTCACGCAAGGTCCCACCTGGACCAGCAAAGAGCACCCTGGCCTTGCATCTCAGAACAGGGGACAGAAGCTCTCAAAGCCTTTCTTGCTGGGCCCAGGATTGGTCCTGAAGCCTTCGCAGCTGCTGAGGTGGTGGAGGCTGGAGCCCCAGCTCGGAGGCTGTGGGGCTTCAGGACAGGCAGGACTTAGGACGTGGGACGCCCTCCACCTTAACAGTGGCCAGTGCTGTGGCTTCATCCTCCGGCAGTGTCATGATGCCAGCCAGGGCACAACCCTGGGTTCAGGAGCCACTCGTGCATGACTTGTGGGGCCTTCTCACTAACGGTGGGGTATGGCCCGCAGAAAGCTGTGCCCAGTGTTGTGCTTGCCCAGCTTGGGCAGGTCTAGGCTTCCATTTGCTTAAGATTCAAGAAGTCAAACTCTGAGGAGGACCTAAGTAGGCCTTTTCTGATTTAAATCTGTCACTGACTTCAGCTTCCAGAGGGAAAAGTCTTTTTGGAAGTGACGAAAGGCTCAGAAGGACAGTTGCTAAGTGTGCTTCAAGGTAGGTTCAGTGTCACGGCAACCTGGTAGAGGACATCCCAGGGACACCATAGGAAACGGAAGCTTGTATTGGATATGTCACTTGTATTGGATATGTCACTTGTATTGGATATGTCACTTGTATGGGAAAAGTCACGTGTCCGGAGCTATTTAGTCAGTGACCCAGCCAGATTGAGACCTAGGCTCCTGACTCCAGCCCCACTGTTCTGACCTTTGCATTGTGCCACCTCCTAGGACAGATGTGAGCAGAGAGACAACACAGGACACCAGTTGCGAGAAGGGAGCACAGGAGAGCAGGGCCCGGATGGGACGGAGGCTGAACCTACCCGAGGGGCAAGATGACCCCACTGTCCAACGGGGGTGAAGGCTGGGAGCCAGGTGGTTTGGGGCACCCCCTGCCTCAGGCTTGAACAAGCCACTGGCCTCCATCTGGAAGGTTCTCTGAGTGATGTGCTCAATATACTAATACAGAGATTTATCTATTAGAAGTTTACTAGTAAATCTTCCTACCATCTCAAAAATATCTGAAGCCCCTCCTCTGGCCCCATATTCTCAAAAGCAGGTACAAGGTAGGCATTTAATACTCATCTGTGAATGTCACCCACTGCATGGCCTTTAAAGCCAACGTCCAACTGAGCACTTTGGCAGCTCCACACTTTTCTCTCTTTGCTTAGCAACTGCAGAAAAAAATAGAGCTCCCCTTGTCCAAACAGTTCTGAAGGGACTGGGTCTCACTGAGCCTGCTTGGATGACCTGCCCATTTCTAACTGAGCCTTTGCGGCTGTCGGGGAGCCGCACGCTAGGATTGGCAAGGCCGCTCTCTCTCCAAGACCATCTCTGAAAGCGGGAGCAGATGTCTCCCCAGCTACTGTACCAGGGACACAAAGTAAGGAGCTGTGGGCAGAAGAAAGGGGAGAGGACGGGGGAGAGGGGCATGGGCTGCAGGGTCCCGACCAAGCACCAGGAGCCTGGTAGGGCTTAAGCCTCTGCCATCCTGAAGTCCCATGAGCTGTCCCTCCATGACATCCACCATTCCCATAAGTGAGATCAGGTGTAGCTGCAGGGTCACTCAGAACCAAGAGGGACAAGGTAGAGAGAAAAGAGATCCCAGACCCCTGGTGCCTCCTCTCTGAACAAAGCCTGAGGACCCTCACAAGCCACCAAGCTCACTCCCTGCCAGCCAAAGGGTTGACCGCTGCCACCCCATTGCTGATGGTCCAGGAGAGACAGTCCTCCCCTTCCCAAAGAGAAGGGGTTGCTGCAATTCGGGAAGTCTCAGCAAAGCAGTAGGAAAATGTCACAGTGGAATAAATTATGGAGATTAAAAGGATGCCTAGATCTTTGGAAGTTGGACCTGCATGGCAGCCTCTCGGTGTTCTCTTTAATCATCAGTCTCTAATTCTGGGACATGAAATTACAAGCTCATTGATGATGATCAGTGACTTACCAGAGAAAGCCCAGCCCTAATTAAGAGCAGAAGCTGACACTGCTTTTCAACTTCCACCAAAGTCCAGCGAGGAAATTACCTGGTTCTGCCGAGCAAATAACACCAGCAGGCTGGCAGGGGACCTGGGTTACCTGATGAACAAGCGCTTGGCCAAATTAATATGCAGAGAGAGTCATTTCGAGTGCTAGCAATTTGCTGGTAATTGGGGCATTGATGGACGCGGGGAAAGCGGCCGAGCTGGTGCATAAACAGCGGCGCTGTGTGCTCTTAGCCTGAGAGAAATGTGAAGACAAGAGCGTGGACAGCTCTCCCAGTGGCTGCCTGGGCAGGGGGGTTAAGGGTCAGCTTGTGCAAGAGTCTCAGTCTTGATGAGCCAAAGGTCAGAGCTCAGAGTGTGATCAGGGTTATAGATCATTGTGTGGCCCGTGAGGGGTGAGTCTACGTTCAGGATTGGGAACAGAGCTGTTCTGTGCCTGGGAGGAACCCAGGCTCAGTGTCTTTCTCTCATCTCATCTCCTGGACCTCCCGACCTTTCTTCTCATGCTCTGCAGTGGAGTCTCGTCTATGTTTCTCATCTCTTGCTGCAACTTCTTTCCTCTAATGCCAAACATAAGGGGAGTTTGACATTGACCTCCCAGTCTTTGGCTATAAGGGACCTCTTAAGGCACTTTGAGGTACAGGCTAGAGCTGGGGCCTCCCTAGGGCTTGTTGTGACTCTCTGTGGAGTCACTACCAGGCAATGGCAGGAGGACGGGTTGTGTGTACCCCAATGGGGATGTCCCCTCCCCTGGCCCTGTAGCCCTCAGCATAGGCTCCCAACAGAACTCCTGGTTCCCAGTGCTCCTTGTCAAGGCCCTGATAAGGTCAGCAGAGCAGCCATTTGTTCATGTCAGTGGTTCAGCTCAGCCTACAGGATGGACTCTTCCAATGCCATCCCCATGGTGGCCTTCTCAGGATAGCTCCAGGGATTCTTTCCAGAAAGCAGGCCCTGGTGCTTCAAAACAGACAAGATTCTAGTGAAGGAGTTGATGCTTCACTCAGCACTGTCAACCCACATTTTCTGGTGAGTCTGCCTTGGGGTGGCCACCCTGGAAGTGAGCAGGGTACCACTTGCATCTTGCACTTCAGTGGGATAACCAATGATCCTGGTTTGCCTGGGTCTAGGAGGTTTCCTGAGACGTGGGACTTTCAATGCTAAAACTAGGAGAGTCCCAGGGAAATCAGGATGGTTGGACACTCTAGATTCCCAGGAACATTGGCCCATCCGATGGTCCCTGGGAATCAGGCAGGGCTATCCTGAGCCTCCTAACCCTGAGCTGCAGACGGAGAAGATGGAGAGATTAGCCAGGCAGAATGTCAGACTTGGGGGGGCGGGGAGGACAGAGGGGCAAGAATCAAGAGTTTCTAAATCATCAGGTAGGCTTGGAGGTGGATCTTATATCCAGACCTAGGTATTCTAGAGGGGTCTTTCCGGCTTGACCGTCATTTGAAAATACGATTGATCTTAGCAATACCAACTCAGCAATAATTCTGATAGCTTGGCCCCTTTACTGGAAACTGGTATTCTCTTCTGCAGTGGTTAATGTTAGGTGTCAACTTGACTGGATTAGGGATATCTATGTAGCAAGTAAAGCATTATTTCTGGTGCATCTGTGAGGGTGTTTCCAGAGGAGGTTGGTCTATGAATCCGTGAACTGGGTGGTGAAGATCCTCAATCGACTAGGGACCCGGATAGAAGATCAAGGTAGAGGAAAAGTGAATTTGCTTTCTCTTCTGGGGCTGGAACACCCACACTCTCCTGCCCTTGCACATCTGTGCTCCAGGTTCCCCGGCCTTTCAGCTCTGGGACTTGCACCAGCACCCGCCCCCCTGCCCTCCCCCACCCCCCCCATCCTCAGGCCTTCAGCCTCAGCCTGAGAGTTAGTTATACCATCAGCTTCTCTTATTCGACACCTTCAGACTTGGACTCAGACCTGCTACCGGTTTCCTTGGTCCTCCGGCTTGCAGACGGCCTGCCTATCATGTGACTTCTCAGCTTCCATTATCACATGATACATCCTGTTGGTTCTGTCTCTCCAGAGAAGCATGACTAAGGCATCTTCCTAATAAAAACAGCAAACAACAACGTTATTATTTTTAACAGCAGTTACAATGTATTGAAAGCTTACTACTTGCCAGGCACACGGTAAGTATTTTGCATGAGATGTTGCTTTTAATCCTCACAACCCAATGAAAAAAGTATTATTACCATACCCACTTTACAGACAAGAAAGTAAAGACTTAGAGAGGTTTAGTAATTTGCTAAAGCCACCATAGCAAGGAGGTGTGTAAGTAACTTGAGAGTTCACTGGCTTAACCAGATGGTCCTACTAGGACAATGCATTGGAGGGGAGATGTCCCAGTTTCAGCCCACATCAGATTCAGCCTAGAATTGGGGTCATATCTCACCCAGCCTGAAGGTCTTGTGCATCCATTTATATAAGGAATGGAGGAGCTTCGTGCGAAAGAACTCACTCCGACAAAAGAGCCACGTGCTTAATTCCAAGACTGAGAGCCAGGGTTTAGAAGTATGGGTCATGTCACTCAATGAGTCCTCCTCTCAGGCCCAAAGAATTACCCTTGCAACCTAAGGAGAGAAAGATGCAACTGAAGAGTAAGCAAGCACTAGATGAACCTCTAAATAGCCATTTCTGGGGGACACAGAGAGACGAGGGCATCTGAGCAAGGTACCCACAGCCTTGGCCACAAGAGAAGGAAGGACCACCCCCTCAGCACCAAACACATGAGCATCTATATCATTGCTTCCTCTTCTGGGTGGACAGGGTCAGAGACATCACCACGTGGGCAGAGCGGGAGGGAGAGTAGTGTGGCTCCACAGGATCCCAGAAACGACTCACTGCAGAGGCATTGAGCACGCCCAGTTCTCTGGGAGGAACCAAGACCACGGTTGCTGGGGTTCCGGCACCGTGAATGGGAAGTGACACTTCTAAGGACCCCATTTTTATTCTCTTCCCCCAAAGACCCAGGACGCATGTGCTGCATTTATATTGCTTTCTTGCTGTAAAACACACGCACTGTCTTAGTTAGCTCAGCCTGCCATAACAAGATACCATAGGCTGGGGGGCTTAAACCACCAACATTTAATTCTCACGGTTCTGGAGGCTGGGAAGTCCAAGATCAAGGCGTTAGCAGATTTGGTTTCCAGTGATGGCTCTTCTCCTGGCTTGCAGATGGCTGTCTTTTCATCATGTCCTCGCATGGCAGGGGAGAGAGCTCTGGTGTCTCCTCCTCTTCTTACAATGACACCAGTCCTAGTGGATTAGAACCCCCACCCTTATGACCTCATTTAACCTTTATCACCTCCTCCTAGGTTCTGTCTCCAAACACAGTCACCCTGGGGGCTAAACTCCAACCTATGGATTTACAGGGGTTGAAGGGGTGACACAAACATTCAGCCCACAAAACACACACATGTATACACACATGCACACATACCCCTCTCCCATCAAACCCTAAGAACAAGGCCACACGGGTATCACTGTCCCTGCTTTGACTATGAAGTAACAGTCTCAGAGAGGTTAAGTAACTTCCCCAAGGCCATTAATAATTACACGTTAATCTTGTAAAAATATTTTTCTTGTTATTTGTAAATAATCGTGTTTGTAGCAGAGCCTGTGAGGACCCTGCCACCATCTTCTCAGCTCATGTCATTCCAGCATGCAACGGCTGCCTCCTGTTGCAAGCACCTGAAAGCTCCATCACCCTGGCGCTGTGCTGGGCCACGACTGGCAGGAGCTGGAGGGCAGGCACTGCAGCTTCCTTGCACCTCTGATGCATAAGTTTTAAAACAAGTCCCATACAGTTGCCCAGAGCTCCCCAAAAGACGAACTGCCATTTCCCACGTGGAAATTAGAAATTAGGCAAGGTAGATAGTCTCTGACCTCATAAAGTTTACAGTCTAGAAGAAATAAAAAGTCTTCTGTATCTTACCAAGTCGAAATAGCCATTGTTACTTTTCTGCAGATACATATATATATCATTTCAATCTTGCAATTATATACACATATATACTTACTAAATCTGTATCATGCCAAATAGTTTTGAATCCAGTTTTTTTGTTCTCGTCGCGAGTATTTTTCCATGTCTCTAATTAGTCTTTAAAAACATGAGTTTTTAAAAATATTTCCTCGCATGCACCACCATTTAGTTAACCATTCCCCAATTGTTCTCGGTGTTCCATGATTATAGATAACAACGTGATAAACCTTAAACAGGTTCCAGGCAAGCTGCGATATAATCATATTAGCATTTTAGGAGAATCACCTTGGATCTCCGTGGAGGCAGACTGGAGGAGGCTGGGGGCAGGGAGACCAGCTGGGGACAATCATAATATTCCACATCCAAGATGGTGGCACTCAAGGCAGGGTATTGGCAGTGGAAGTGGAGGGCGAGGAAGACTGGGCCCCCAGGCAGCCTCTCTGCCTCCACTTACAATCTCCTATAAGCAGCTTAGGGCTGTGCATTCTTTCAGTATCACCTTATTAGCCTTGACTTCCCTACTTGAATGTCAGTCCCTCCAAGGGAAAGCCTGTCTGTCTTGTCTCTGTAAGATCTAGTACAGGTCTAGACGCATGAGACTGGGATGAAAGGCCCTTCTTTCTTTGGTAGAAATAACTCTGGAGACATAATTATGCTTCTTCAACAAGCTTTAGGACAGACACAGCAGTGACTGGAAGCCACCAGTGTGGCACTTGCAGGACTAGGACTCCTCCAAGGGAACCCCATAAGGTAGTGGGAAGAGCTGGTCATCCGAGCAGGAAAGGACTTTCTCTTTCATTGGACCCAAGATCTGTCAATCACCTCTTCCCTGCCAATGAGCCATGGTCTGGAGGATGTCCTGGGAGTCAGCAGCAGGAATGTGGAGAGAGATGTTCCAGGAGCTGCTATCGTCAAAGTGACCCCGGGGTGGCGACAGTGGGCAAGAGCAGGGTTTCCAGAGCCTTCCTTCAAGAAGTCAGGAAGGACAAGGGAGGCAACTGTGAGCTCAGGATAAGTATATAAAACCCAAACTGGGAAGAGATTTCTTCCCCCAGGAAGGCCAGGCGCTAAAGGGATTTTTGTCAAGAGCGTAAAATAGCAGTGAAGTGGACATTCAGTGAGACCCAGAGCAGCCCAAGGACACCACTTGTTTCCTGAGCACCAGCTGTGTGCCAGGGCCAGTGCTGGGTGCTGGGTGCTGGGTGCTTTGTGCTGGGACACAGTGGTGAGCAATTCGGGCGTGACCCCACCCTGGTTCGCAGGGTCTCCAATCTACACAAGCCGGTTAACGTGCACCAAGACCGGACGGCAGGCAGCCCCCAGTCAATGATCTCACATCACTCTCTCGCCGCCATCCTATGAAACGGCACCATTAGGGCTCCCATTGTACAGGTGCACAAGTTGAGACTCAGAGAGGTTAAGTTAACCAGCCGAAGACCGAAGCTGGTAAGCGACAGGGCCAGGATTTGAACCAAGACATAGCTAACTCCAGGCTTCTCCCCTGCCTTCCGCCAGAACAATAGGTCTCAACTATTCTTCCATGTTTTTCCCCAGGGTATGTTGGGCGACATCTGGAGACACTCTTGGTTGTCACAACTGGGGGAGGCGAGAGCTCCTGCTTATCTATGGGTAGAGGCCAGGGATGCTGGCAGACATCCTACGGTGTGCAGGACAGCCCCTCCCAACAAGGAATTACCAGGCCTGAGATGTCAAGAGGGCTGAGGATGACAAACCCTGGACTGCAATGTGTGCCGTAGACGCCCATAAGCTGGGGCTTGAACCTCCCCGAGGACACTCAGGACTGTCTGAATGCACAGCCGGTCATCGGATGAGTTACTGAGGATTCGCAGGGCTGGGAGGAGCCAGCTCCAGGCCCCAGGTGTGGGTGGCCCTGGCAGCCAGAGCACGGCCCCAAACAGACGGACGGGGCAGGGATGGGAGGAACAAATGCCCCAGATGCCCGGTGAGTGATGCCAGCAGGAGAACAGCAGGCGAGGGGGGGACGGCTCCCAGGGCAGCTGCGCTTCCTCGCCCCTCCCCTGCGCCCTCCCCCGGGATGTCTGTCCTCAGCAGCACAATCATCAGCTCCTCGAAGGATACAAAACACAAACAGTGCTTGGAGCTGCCGCTCTCCCCGGACAACATTGAGCTAATATTTGTTTTAGCAAATGGCTGAGCTGTTCATCTTCTCCAGCAATGGGGATCTGTTTTTCCTTTCAAAAAAAATCACTGGGATTCTAAGTCTGGGAAGCCGACATCCCGAGGACTGGATGCACAGGAAAGAGAGCTCTGTGATGAAGCAGCAGGAGCAGCAGGAAGTGGAGGCAAAAGTAGTTGTCGTCCTACTGTGTGCTTCAGTTTATACGCCCTGACAGCCTGAGAAAAAGGGGTTGTTGGTTTTTTTTTTGGGGGGGGTTTTCTTTGTTTGTTTTTTGTGGTTGCAGCAAGTCTCAATTTTCAGAGGAAAAAACTTAAACTCAGAGAGGTAAGGTAACTTGCTCAAGGTCACACAGCTTGTGAGGGATTTAAGCACCCACAGGTGCCTGATTCCAAAGCTCCCCACAGGTGCAGGTCTTCGCTGCACCTGCAGTGGGGCCTGTCAGCAGAGCAGGAGCCTCGTGCACTTCTTTTGCGGGACAGAGAAGCGTCAACTCAGGGAGCAGGGAGAGGAGGTCAGCAGAGAGCTCTACAGACCCTGATCCTGCCAGGAGTCTTTCAAAGTGGCCTGAAGGTTGTGAGGATTTACAAGCACGTGAGCCTGGAAGTTCCTGCAGCAAGGCAGACCTCATGGTCGGTTGGATTCCTTGGTTCAATGATATCGTTGCAGACACGGTGCTTTCTGTTTCTCCCCTCTGCCTTCCTCGCCATCACCTTTCCTCATGGTGGCAAATGGCTGCAGCAGCTCCAGGCATCCCTTCTTTCTCCCCCCATCTGGAGAGAGGAGGGCCAGACTTCCTTCGCATAACCCCCTCCTCACATTCAGTAGCCCAATTTGGGTCACATATCCATTCCTGGACCAATCTTTTCAGCCAATCTTTTCGGCCGACACTGACCGGCTTAAGCCTGGGTTAACTGAAGGAGACATGGTAACAGGGTGCATGAGATTAGGAGGGCTGATTGGGCAAGAAGAAATCAAAATCAACTCTTAAAATTGGGGGCCGGGGTCAATAACTCGAAAATGACATGGCCGTTTCACATAGCTATTTTACCCTTGAGCAGGGGATGGGAGAAATGTTGGAGAAGGAGCCACCTGGTCTACCACAAGCACCAAGCAAACTAGTTTCTGTTTGAAGTCCAGCCAGGTGGGGTTGGACCAGGTGGTCAGCCAGTATATGTAAAAATAATGATTGTAATGGATTATAATCTGTAGAATAAAATAAGTATGTACAAGCCAATACTGACATAATAAAAATATGAATAAATAAATAGATAAGTAGGAAAGAAGAGAATGTTCTTCCTCACAATGGAATCCAACTAATAAAAATAGAAGGAATGATGGAAATAGAAAAATCACCACTTGGCAAGCACCATAGTAATAATTGTTTCAATAAATGAATCATCATCCATGGATGCTAAAATTAGTGGGGAAAAATATGAGGAGAAGCAAGATATTTATATAATCTCAAAGTATCAAGGGAAACATTGTAACTTTACAGCAGAGAAAGCTGGTAGACACATTGTAAGCAAGCAATCCAAGTTAACATAAGCCATAAAGAACCCCTCAACATTATGTTCCTCCTGATAGCAAGCATTGAGAAGGACATCATATCACTTCTGTGATCTTCTTGCAAAAAATATGCAGCCTGAATTAATCATGAGAAAACATCAGACAAACCCAAGTCAAGGGACATTCTGCAGAGGGCCAGTGCTCTTAAAAAGTGTCAAGGCCATGAAAAATAAAGAAAGGTTGATAATTAAAGGAAGCTAAAGAGTTGTAACAACTAAACTCAATACAGGATTCTGAATTGGATCCTGAACCACACCAAAGACATTAATGGTACAAATGAAAAAAAAAATTGCATAAGGTCTACAGATTACATAACACTGTATCAATGCTCATTGCCTCACTTTTGTAGTTGTACCTTGGTTGTAGACAATGTTAACATTTGGGGAATGTCAGTGAAGGGCTCGTGGAAATATTCTGTACTACTTTTGCAGGTTTTTGTAAGTCTGGAATGGTTCTAAAATAAAAAAGATTTAAAAGTGTAAAAAGAAACGTCCTCCCCAAGTATCAGAAATGC